TGGAAAGCTTTTTATAAATATTTAGGTTAGAAAATGGCAGTGAGTGGGCTTGCTTGGTCTAAAAGACTCCACATTTAAATTTTGATAGCTAGTTCTAAAGTCTACTCTAGTCACATTTAAAAAACAAAAACAACTTGTTTCTTAGCAGTAACATTTCTTAAAAACCTTATGAGCTTCTTTACTAATGTCAGTATTTCCCGTCCTTTTAGCCTGTCAGTATTTAGATGGATTCCTAATGTGATGCAAAGGCCTGCTGTACTCACTGATACTCAGTTTTCCTTTTAATCTAGTTAAACTGATTAATGAGCCCATTAGTCTCCACTCCCGAGTCTTCTGATGGTGTTGTAATTTTTATTCAGAGACATTTCCTAAACCTCATTCTATTTCAACAGCTTTAGCTAAATTATAGACATTTATGCTGATTTCTTTATAACCTAGTTAAGGTTTCATTGCCCTGACTAACTTGGTGATATTTCTCTTCCTATTAAAATTAGCTCTCATTGTAGAGATATCCTCCCTCTTTCTGAAATGGCTGTGTTCACCCAGGCAATTTTCAAACTGTTCTCTTGGTAATAGCTACAATTGAATCCTCCCCCACTGGCTATACTCACTAAATCAAATGGCTCCTCACTTACCTGATGGTTCCTCTCTCTGAATTTCAAAAGGCAAAGCTGGTTCATTCACCTCACAGTGTTCCTACTTTCCCATTCCTCACTGTCTCTGTCTCTCTCTTTCTCTCTCTCCTCTTTCTCTGTCTCTCTCCTTGTTTCCTCTGTCCTTGAAGCCTCTGTTGGATGGTCACCCATACTTTACCTATAGGCTCCATTCTAAACAAAACACTTAAAACGAGTAAGTATATTATTTGAACACATGTAACACCCAGAATAGACATATCCTAATATACATTATCTAAAGGGAATTTGCTATAATGAACAGTGATAATCCAGGTTGGCTAGTTAGGGTCAGACAAATTACAGATGGCATTGAATGGACCTAAACAGCACCTGCATATGTCAGACACTTCTTACAGTTTATTGTGTACTAGATTCCGGATTGGATGCTCAAATGGTACACATTTTTTATGTCTGCTCTTTGGCAAATGTCTTGAGAGAGAAAGATGAAGCTGAACAATGAGTATGATTGGCTATGGTTGTTAACAGGAGAAGATGAGGAACTGGGAGAAATCAGAGGAGGACCTTCTCCCTTCTCCCCACCCCTGCCCATGTGTCTGCCTCAGGGAGTCAGGGAGCCCTCACAGAGGAAGCCATTGATCTAGGGGATGAAGGGTGAAGACAAGAGGAGGAAAGACATTCTAGGCAAAGCTTGTTCACAACATGGGGTGATTGACTGATGCAGTTTGTCCAAAAAAAATGGTGAGGATTTCTAACATGATGCAAATTTTATCCATCCCTAATGCTTGGACCGACTCTGTGGGCATGCATCACATAGAAAAATGTATTTACTTTGCTTTAAGGACTCCGTCTGTATTTACTTTGCTTTCGGGACTCTGTCCTGTTCTTTTCTTAGCTGACAATACAGGAATATACTATCCCTCTGTGACTATTCTGTTCTGTCAAAACCTTAATGTGATGGGAGAAAGCTTTTCCTGTGTGGCTGAGGAATTGGGTTTATGATCATTACCTTCCATTCCTGGAAGAGAGTACTAGTGAATTCAAAAGAAGAAATGGTTGCATTTGTATTCAGCTTATTCTGATTATGAACACCCAAAAAATCAAATGATCAAATCCCATGAACAACAAGGTATAGCGTTTTCAATAGTCGAACAGTCTGCATTGTTGGCTGCCTTCTAACCCCTAGGGAAAGGACATGTAATGTAAAGGGCTCATTTGGGCTCCTGTTGATAAAAGGGTAAGTTATTAAGTCTCTGACATATAGAAGGCACTCAATAACATTTGCTGAATAAATTAATGATTTGAGCAATGTCCTGTTTATATTTGTTTGAATTTTTATCTTGTCTCTCAAGTGTCAAGTTCTGAAGGATGTCAGAAAATGATTGACCTTTATATGTCACTGTGAATTCATTGATCATATTATCCAGAGGGTTTTGGTTTTGTTTTGTTTTTTAACAAAGTGAAGTCTTGGATCATGAAATTTAAAAAGCCAATCTTGGGTGTTTCTGCTATTTGTTCCTTTTCTTGCTTTTATTCAAGTAAGTTGGTTGCACCAGTGTATTGCTTGTTGTCTACTTATTCTTTCTGCCTTCCTTGTCTCCTCCTCTATGTGTCACTCACATCGGCTTTTATTAACCAGAAACTCCTTGCAACTTCCACCTTTGGAGTTTCTTAAGACTGAATTTCTGCCCCTCCTCCTTGTTCTTCTCCTAACCATTAGAAGAAGCATTCAAGATTTTGTCTTCAGCCATCTTTCTATCTTTTGTCCTTCAGAAATCTCAAGGACTTTCAGAGCATCGACTGTCTGAGCCTATAAAAAATGGCTTCCTAGACTAGGCTTTCTTCCATCCCTCTCCAATTCCAGCTCCTCCTCTTTACCTGCCTGGTATATAAGTGCTGCGGGGAGTGCTATTCCTGGAAAACGCCAAGGCAGCCTGACTAGGGGACATAGAGATACTGTCACCCTCTTGTGGAAAGAGTAAAAAGTCATATTGAAGGGTCAATCATACGGAACTTGATAGCAGATATTCCCAGGAAGATTATATCTGTTAAGGCCCTACTAAATTGCTTTATACTCAATGTATATACATCTTAAATAAGCTCTAGAGAATATCTTTGAAGCCTATTGTAATTATTTTATGCAGAGTTCCCTTCAATTTCTTTCAGTTTCATATTAGATCACTTTTATGCAATGAAAAGAAACAGATTTGGGCTCTGGGAGCTCTTCATGATGACTTGTGGAAGAAGCTGAGGTATGGTAGATGTTTTGAAGGATATGATAAGAGACAGTGTCAGCCTTAAGGGGCTTCATGGAAGAGGCAGAGTGAACATTATTATATCTGAAGCCCATAGTATGCCAATGTGATGATTTAGCTAAAGATATTCATCTAAAAAAATCATCCCTGCTCTTTTAAAGAGTGTTTATTTTTTTTGGAAAATACTTTTATTTTGACCAGATTTTTTTTTCACCTACCCTTTCATATGGTTCCATCTTCTCCTCAAAGAATATCAGTTCTAATGAAGTTGAACCCATTCATTTCCCTTCATGGATTGGAAAAACCTATAGAGTAAACATAACTTTTTTTGTTGTTGAGTCACTAGTTGAAGCCAAAATTGATGTGCTTTTTATAAAGGCAAGCTTCTTACATTTCATTTAAATAAAAAATATAAATTTGGGGGCTGGGAAGGTGGCTCAGTGGTAGAGCGCTTGCCTTGCATGCATGAGGCCCTGGGTTCCATTCCTCAGCACCACATAAGCAAAAAGAAAAAAAAAGCCACAAGTGGCACTGTGGCTCAAGTGGTAGAGCGCTAGCCTTGAGCTGAAGGACAGCGCCAAGGCCCAGAGTTCAGGCCCCACGACCAGACCCCCCCCAAAATATATATATATATATATATATATATATAAATTTACTTTTATGTTATTTTGAACATGAAAAATGTATTCATAGTGTTGAATAGAAAACCAGTTAAAAATACATTAAATCATATAAACAAAATAATAGCCTAACTGCAATTTTATATGAATCTTCAAAAACCATTTCTTACTGACATGTAGATAATTATAAAATGATCATATATTTACATTGGTTTTTATATGATCACTTTAATAGACATTTTCACTTCGTTAGTTTGAAACAAAATAAATAGATTTATTCCTTTAATCTGAAACTTAAGCCATGTGTTGATTTTGCCAAAGTACTTAATTCTGGGTAGATTGTGAGACAGTTTACATGGATTTATTTTAAACTTAAAGGAGAAAAGTTTTTTCTGGCTTTTGGTACTTCTTAAAAATGTTTTCTCACATATGTAACAAGATGAAAATGGACTCAATCCAATATCCATGACCCTACTATAAAAGACCAAATACCTACAGCAAAATCTTTAATGGGACAACTTGAGTAACTCTACATCTCCTCTTGTAGAGCCCTAGTGTTCCATAGAAGCCATTTGAGAAGCTCTGATCTAGGGTCTTAGATAATGAATATTAGAGTAATGCGAATCCATGCACATGACTATTTACCTAAGGTACTTTTTACATGTATATACCACCTAAGGTCATATATTCACAACATAGAATACATTGTCTAAAAGAACAAATAAAACCTATATTATTAAAAAGGAATGAGAATAAGTAGAAGAAAGGTTAATAGAGAGTTCTATCATCAATAGAACTGATATATCATCAACAAACAGGGGAAATTTGAAGGAAATAGAAAGGCCTAAAGTTGGAGAGAAAAATATAAATGAGCTATGGAGACTTTAAACTAAGGAAGAAAGAGGGTCTTGAAAATTCCCTAAGGTATTAAGAGACTGGTGGGAATGATTGTGAGAAGAATCTAGAAAATGGTAGTATAGACATTGTAATAATTCACATCAATGGAAGGGAAGGCCAGCAAGAATGGTGGTGATAGAAATAAAGGAATGGCATAGAATGGAGGCAAATGGTTACAGAACTGATGATATCTGGCTCAACCTGACTATGAACATAGTTCTAACACTAATTATGGTATTTCTGTTCTCAGAAATATTAGAAATGTGGGCTTGAGTGAGATTTACTTGGAAGTCTTGGTAGATGGAGTTCATTTCTAAGACTCACCAACTTTCTTGATTTTGTACCAAGACACTATTCTTGTCATGATGTAGAGGAACATAGATCCTCCATGGACAGATCCAAAAAGTTAGAGAGATCCAGCTGCATGGTGAATTTTTCCAATTTTTAAATATTAGCAATTCAATTTATTTTGTTGTTGTTCAAGGCAATTCCTTAGCCACAGGAAGCTCATAGAAAGACTTTTTAGACTAGTTAATATTTTCATTTGGCTGAAACGTTGATTTGAAAGTTACAAGCCTTTCTCTGTTTCTTCCCAGCCAGGTCTCTAGACAAACTGTATAACTTCGCTGATTGCTCTGGACTCCACCTGATATTTGCTCTAAATGCACTGCGTCGGAATCCCAATAACTCCTGGAACAGTTCTAGTGCCCTAAGCCTGTTGAAGTACAGCGCCAGCAAGAAGTACAACATTTCTTGGGAACTAGGAAATGGTAAGTAAGGATGTTCTTTCCTCTGAATTGACAAGTTGAAGGGAGTGAAATAAAAAAAAAAAGGTTGACTTGGGACATAGTCTCCATCTCCAGAGTACTGGCCAAGGAAACAGGTGAGATGCTTGGTCACTGAGCTGACTGTCCAAGTGTACAAGATCAAATAGAGGGCACTAGAATTAATTATTATAATTAAATTTATACTTATACCTTTTCACCTTGATTTTTTTCTGTGGAAATGTCACCAGAATTGGGGAGATAGTGATTTATGACTATCAGTATTAAGTCAGATACAACCTCTTCACAGCCTGAGAGTAATTCAAAAGAACAATGGCCAGACATAGTTCTCACACTGTGTTCTCACACATGGATTTATTGCATTCTGGGATTTGAAGTTTTCATCATAATATGGCAAAGAAGGAGGGTCTTGTAAGAGCAGTTAGTTGGAATGTGACTTTCATTTTCTTTCCTCTCTTCTTTTTTCCTTTTTTCTTTTTCTTCTTTCTTTTTCTCAGGTGGGGACAATTTGAAAATAAAAAAATCAGCTAGTAATAGATAAGCCTAAAACAATTCAAACTAAAATAGATGATTGGTGGGATAATTCCTCCAGAGTTTAGAGGAATTTCTGAGTATGGAAATGTGTTACGTGAAATAAATCTTCAGGTGGTGTAGTTGATTTGGTGAAAGGCGGATGGCGGGAAGAAGGCAGGGAGAAGTACAGCATTTCTCTGTGTGTAATTATTAAGAACTTGCCCCTCCCCTCATCTTCTTTCCCCAAACCATTCTGAATACTTCAGAGAGGGAGCTAATTATATTAAAATGATATTATTTAGTCATCTGAGCTAACCAACACACAATGATCCTCATCTTTATCATATTGTGTCTCTTCAGGACTTAACAAAGCAAAAAGTCAAGAGGAAGCACAAAAATGGTGGGACAAAGGGTGAAGTAATTCAGCAGTGATATTTACTAGACACTACGTTGAAAATGAGCTATTTAACTTGTGGGGGAAGGAGCCTCTTTAAGGCAATAGGTAGCCTGTCAGTTTTATAACTTGTGGGAAAGAGGGTCAGGAGGAAAAAACTGGGAGAAAAAGAGGGTTGGGAATGTGGCTTAGTGCTAGAATGCTTGCCTAGCATGCATGAAGCCTTCAGTACCACATAAACAGAAAAAAAAAAAAAAACCAGAAGTGGTCCTGTGGCTCAAGTGGTAAATTGCTAGCCTTGAGCAAAAAGAAGCCCAGGAACAGTGCCTAGGCTCCAAGTTCAAACCCCAGGACTGGCAAAAAAAAAAAAAGCAAGAATTCATTTATAAGGAGGAAAAAACATACAGTCACTGATAAGAAAATACTGGTACCAATAAGAAGAGATAGAAAAATAATAAAATTCCTGAATTTAGAAATTTAGTAACATAGATAGTATTGGTAAAGTTTTTTGTAAGCATTTCTACAGATGATTTTTGAGACTCCAGTTAGGAAGTTTAAATACTGTCCCTCTTTTCTTTCAAAAGTGTATACACACACACACACACACACACACACACACACACACAAATGATGTCAATGAATATTCTACTCATCTCAATATACCTTGTAGGGTTTGAATAAGAATCATTTTGCTGTTTGCTTTCATTTGTTTTGCATCCACAGACATTTTCTCTTGGGCTAGAGTAATTTCCTTTAAGATAAGCAGTGTATTTTGCTCACAATTTTTCTGTTGTATATATTCAGCCCCTTCTCCTTCAGAAGAAAATTGCATGGACATCCTAGGTTTGTTTCTCCAGTTTTCTTGCCATTTGCTTCTTTGTAACCTTATCTCTTTGGACAGAGGTAATAGTTTAATCACCATCTCCATGTTTAGAGAGAGACAATAGAACTGGTCAGTTCTCATCACTCATCCTTCCCTATACCCACACCCTGTTAACAAGAATTTTATCTCTAGGGCAAATCTAGTATTCAAAAAAGCCAAGGTAGACATTTTCTTAATTGTTTCTTACAAAGTGGCTAAGCTTCAGTGACTTGCATACTTTTATTCTCCTTTGAAATCAGTGACTACTGAGGGCTACCAACCACTAATGTAAGGCATACCTAATATCAAGAGGTAAAGATTAAAATGTTTAGGATGTCAAAGGAAGACTTTCTTGATAGAAGATTTCAGACAGTTTTATTATGTACTATTAAGCCTTTCCCTAAATGCCCATAAATTGTAAACTCTATAACAGATTAAAGCTGAGTGATGATTGTAATGTTTTATAACTTTATTAACCATTAGTGAATTGAAGGTAAATGAAACAAATAATTTTGAATTTGGAACTCAAATAGTGGAAATATATAAAAATTTGATTCTAACTGTAGTCCAGAGAAATTGTGTTTTGGTTTTTTTTTTTTTTAGAAAGCTATACTTAATGATAAAAATTACCTTAAGGGGTTGGAGTGTGACTTTGTTGGTAGAGAGCTAACCAATGAGCAAAAGTGTCAGGTACTGAGTTTTAGTCCTATTCTTGAACAAAAAATACACTGAATTAATGCAATATCTATAATTGAATAGCCTCTATTTACATTATAAATTATACATTGGCTTCCTAAGTAGTTCTTCCCATTTCTACAAACAAATGAACTACATTTAATTAATTTTTGAATCAGTGTCATGTATTCATACCCTCACTGGATCTATTGTTTTCCAATGTATTTGGTTATGGAATTCAGTTCTCTGGAGCCTGTCTATTGAGTGATTTGATAAGCTCCAACTTCTGACCTTAGAAAGTTTAACCCGTAAGAGATGATTATTTTGGAAGAATAATGAGTGATTTTTACTCATCCACTCAACATTCATTAAACATTTGGACTGCAATTGTGTAGATACCTACATAATATATAAATATACATTCATATATTTACAAACTGTGTGTTTTGTGTGTGTGTATATATATATATATATATATATATATCAGTAATAGTCATGTAAACCTAAACCTAAGGTTGAACCATAGGCTTCAAACACATTGACAATTAATTATGAGGCTAGGCTCCAGATCAGAGCTTTAGAGAATTGTATTTTGCAGGAGGTAGAGGTTCAATATTTAGGCAAGGAGAGGAGGAAGAAGGAGAATGAAGGGAACAATTTCTTTGTCTGCTTCCTTCCTTCCTTACCTCTCCTTATCTGCTTCTCACCTTCACCTTCTGCCTATCTTCTCTGTACACTCAAATCCAAATGAATACTGTAATGATATTTAATCACTATTGCATTTATTGTGTGTGCATTATATTGGTGTGCTCCTGTTGTGCAAAACATTTGCTGAATATAATAATGTGGAAATTGAAGGATGTCCTTGAGCTCTAAGATGGTGTGGTGTGTGTGTGTGTGTGTGTGTGTGTGTGTGTGTGTGTGAGAGAGAGAGAGAGAGAGAGAGAGAGAGAGAGATCTCTACTTCTGGCTATTTGCTGGTTAATTGGAAATAAGAGTCTCTCATGTCTGCTTAAGATGGCTTCAAACCATTATCTTCAGATTTCAGCCTCCTGAGTAGCTAGGATTATAAATGTGAACCACTGGTACCTTGGTAGCTTCTCTCCCTCCTCCTCCTCCCTTTCACCCTCCCCTCCCCCTTCCCTTTCCTCTCCCTTACCCTCTCCTTTTCCCTTTCTCTTTCCTTCCTGGCCACCATGAAGTGAACAGACTCTGCAACATGCTCCTGTGCTATAATATTCTGCCTTACCTCAGTTTCAAAGTAATAAGAGTTGGCTGACAATAAACTAAAACCTCTGGATCTGTAAACCAAACTAAATCTTTTCTTCCTCTTAAATTGTTTCTGTCAGGCATTTGTCACAGTGACAAGAAACTGATTAACAAAAACTCTTGCCAGGCCTGCTTCTATAGAGCTTCCTAGAGTGCTCTGTGACAGAGTGAACATACAGAACAAAGACTTCCTGGTTTCCAGGAGTTTATTGCCTGAACCTACAGGCAGGATAAACTTTTACTAGTGAGCTATTAAGTCCTCCTAGAACTATTAAGCTTCTAAGCTGTTAAATCCTAGAACTGGAGAAACTCCTTATGATTTAAAAGGTTTAAATTATACATCATAGAAATTATTAAAGCAACAAATAATATGTGCAAAATATAAATTAAAGAACAAACCTGTTGATAAAGACATCATTTACTTTTGTAAGCACTTAATTAACCTTTGATTATTAAGGGAAATCAGTGATGTTTGAATTACATTATTTAAGTTCATTATTGTAGTGGAAAACCACATGTCACTTAAATTCCGGTTAGTCTCCTGGAGTGTTAAAGGAAGCACTTATGGGAAAACTGTCATCTGTGTGTAAGTTGGATGAATCATTGGTGAGATCAGGGCCTTCATTTGTTTTCACTGACAGGAGCCACCGTTGCAGTGCAATTGATACTTTAAGGAATATAAGACAAACAATTTTCTTCACCTTCTACTCATTTCTCAAACACCTGCCTTTGTTTGCTCACAACAGGATACTATGAAAGAGAGCACATCTAATTGATGTGGTCTAATAGCACCCTTTCCTGTTATTCTTAAATATTTTAAAATGCTTCAGTAACTTGTAAAAGTGAAGACCAAATCTCTAGATACACCAGTCATCTCAATGGCATGAGTGAGCTGTCGGCGTGAGGTCGGCAAGAGGCTGAAACATGATTTGGATATTTTTTTTAGTTTGGAGCTCAGAGTATTGAACATGCACTGGCAACAACAGTTTATATAAAGTGAAGCCAAATTTCACATCACTTTAGAAAGCCTGCGAGTCATACTCTTGGGCATATATTTAAAAGAGAATAAATCAATATACCAGAAAAGGTACTTGCATACCCATGTTGGTTACAGCTGACCTCACACCATCCAAACTGGACTCAGCCAATGTACCCAAGGGCCAATGAATGGATAAAGAAAATATGAGATAGATAAACACACACACAATGTATTATGTATTAGAATATTACTCAACCATAAAGAAAATAGGAAATCATGTCATTTGCAGAAAAATGCATGGGTCTGGAGATAATCAAATTGAGTGTGATAAGTCAAAATAAAAAGCCAAGAATCACATGTTTTCGATCGATTGTGAGGTAGAGACCTTAAATAATGGTGATGAGGATAATGGTAATTCTAATGAGGCATGAATGTGAAAAGGGTACTGTCTGAGAGGAGGTTAGTTATGGGAGGGAAGGAGGGATGAGGAGGGGTAAAGCGAGTCAAAGGACATTACATACATGTATGTATAAATATGTATATATGAATGCAGCACAATGAAACCCACTCAATGCTGTTTGAAAAGGGGGGGTAATAAGAAGAAAGAAAAGAAAGAGAATATGGTGTATGGGTGAATTTTTTTCTAAGTACCCTATGTGAATGTACAGAAATATCACACTGAAAACCCTTATTTTACAAAAGTTTGTTAACTCAGAAATAAAATTTGAATAAGATTCATTCCCCAACTAAGATTTACTAGCAATAAAGTTGACTTTAAAGACTCGTGAGACATTATTGTAACTATGTGACATCATAAAAAGGCAAAAACGTATACACAGAGTCAACAAACCAATGTTTCCAGGAGACATTTCTCATGAGAGGAAAGAGGAGAGGAATAAATATGGGGAGCATATTGATTAACTTATTCTGCGTGATATTGTCACTGTGAATGCATGATGTCATGCACCTTGCAAAGCCTATACTAAGACACAATCCACATATCACACCCCAATGTAAGTTGTGGGCTTCAGTTCCAGGGATTTAAATTCTATAGATATTTTAATAACATTTCAGTATTCAGTTATCAATACTAACGTATTTCACATGAGTAAAATCCTATTCAGAAAGTCATTGATTATACTTATATCTTAAAATGTTTCTCTTACGTTTTTCTTTAGTAGTTCCAAAGCTTTAGGTCATACATTGAAGTTATTTTGAATTGATTAGTGTGTTAGGTTAGAGATAGAGCTCTGGTTTTGATCCTCTACATGTGGCTATCCAGTTTTCCCAGCATGATTTATAGAAGAGGTGATCTTTGCTACAATATATGTGTTGGGTTTTTTTTTGGAGGGGGCATCTTTCTTGAGAATCATACAGCTATAGTTGGATTCTTACTTCTCTTCCCTTGTTCTTCGTGTCAATGTTTGTTTGAGTACTATGTTGGTTTTTTGTTAACAATGGCTCAGGAAGAATACATTTTGAAATCTGGAATGGTGATATCTCCAGTGTGTCATTTTCTTCAGAAGTGCTTTGCTTAGTTGAGGCCATTTATGCTAAACTATAAATCTAATATTTAAATTCCTTATTTTCCATCCCAGAGGTTGTTTTAAAAACTTTTATGCACTTTTTGGATTAAAGGTGGGGGAAAAGGTCTTACTCAAAAGTATTTCACTCCACTATTTAGCTTTTAATGAACATGAAGGTTTTATTTTTCCACTTTTTGATACAATGGATATCTTTATGAAAGTTTCCCTTCTTATTAATTTTTCTAGGCCTTGCTGTAACAAATTACCATAAACTAAAGGGCTTTAAACAATAGAAATGTACTCTTACTGTTCAGGAGGCTAGAAATTTAAAATCAACACATCAACAGATTTAGTTCTGAAAGTTCTGAAGGAGAATCTTTTCCATGCCTCTCTCCTAGCTTCCAATAGCTGCCAGAAACCATGAACATAAAAACGTATTTTTCAGTCCTCAAATTTTCCATCACACAGCAATCTTGCCTGTGTATCCATATATCTGTTATAAAAGACAGCAGTCGTTGTGTTTAGGGCCTACTATAATCCAGTATTAGCTCACTGCACTATCATCTGTAGGGACCTGTCTCCAAATAAGGTCACATTCTGAGGTTCTGGTAGATGTACATTTTAGGGGATACTATTTACACCAGCATACCATACATTATAAAATATCACCTAAAAACAATATAGGGATTGGTGGTTTTTCTTTTTCTTTCTTTTTTATTGTGAGAATACCGTAGAGAGGTTACAGTTACGTGAGTAAGGTGTTGGGTACATTTCCTATTGGACATTGTTACCCCTCCTTGGTTTTCCCTTACCATCCCTTCCCTTACCACCTCCCCAACTCCTCCCTCCCCACCCCTCAAAGTTGTAAAGTTCATTTTCAACATAGTGTCTTGTACATCTCATTGTTACAATGGGTCAACCTGTATCCTTGATTCAGCATTTTGTTATTTCCCTTCCCCTCCCCAAATTAGAAAAATGTATATACAAGATGCAGGGTACCAGAATCAAATACTGTGAAAACAGGGGTTGTATCATGAGGGAAGAACATACAAAAGAAACAGAAAATATCACATAGTACATTATAAGTACATTAAAAACAACAGCAGCAAAGATAAAACCTCTTGTGTCCCTATTTTGGGGTTCATTTCACTTAGCATCATCTTATGTGGTCATATGTGCATAGCTTTTGACTTTCTACTTGTCTGGTAAGATTATCCTAGATGAATACTAGTTATTGCAATAAGGGAAACCATAGGACCTATGTTTCTTTGGGCCTGGCTTACTTCACTTAATATAAAATAAAAAAGAATGACACTGCCCCATTAGTTAGGAAATGGAAAGACTTTTTATCTTTTTTTTTTAAGAGTAGTTTGAAAGTACTGATAACTTGACTTGCTTGTTGGGGTAGGTTCCTCAATTTAAGATAATCCATACCTCCTGTTTGATTCCTGCTGTTAAGGAAAAGACAAGATCTCTGGATGAAAAAGCGTTGGCAGAACCTCACCCTTCTCAATTCTAATTCAATGTCTATTTTTAATCTAGAGCCAAATAACTATCGGACGATGCATGGCCGCGCAGTAAATGGCAGCCAGTTGGGAAAGGATTACATCCAGCTGAAGAGCCTATTGCAGTCCATCAAGATTTATTCCAGAGCCAGCTTGTATGGCCCTAATATTGGGCGGCCCAGAAAGAACGTCATTGCTCTGCTAGATGGGTAGGTCAGATTATCTAGCTGTTCATAACGACATTATCCATCGAATGTAATGAAATAAAATACTTGCGGTTCTTTTTCTGGTTATTTTCAAACTTCAGAATAAAGGAGGGCCTTTTCCCACCGTGTCTTATCCCTTTCTAAATTAGAAATTCTTCATCAAACAATAGGCCCTTCCTAGTCAAAAGAGGGTAGCAGGGTGGGGAGGCAGACCCCAATCTCTAGCATGGTTTGGAGGGGACGCATTATGTTTTTTAAAAATATTATAAGGTAACAGCATTTCATAGCATCTTTTATACTTTTTTTGAAAGTGAAAGGGTCAGGAAACACTAACGTATTTGTAGGTTAAACCGCAACCGAACAGATAGATTCATTAGCAGAGAGATACTAGAGAATTGCTACTCCATGTTTTATGGAATTTTGACTGAATTTGACCACCATTTTGTAAGCATAGGCACAGATGAGTCACACTATGTTAAATGCTTGCTGACTTAGTCCTCCTAGTGGTGGACCTGGCTCAAATGGGAGAATGGAGACATCCATGAGGGTCTGGTTACACAGGGTCGGAGGAAATGCCTGAGCTGAATTTGTTTTCAGAAATAAGACAGAATAACGGTTAAAGGGAGCCATAGTTTTGTTCAAGGAAGGCTGAAGCTAGGAATCTTCAACATAAGGTCGGAAGTGGAGATTTAAGTGGAGCAGGAAGGGAAGGAATGATGTGGCTGGGGGTTCCAAAGGCTGATCTAGAACACAGTACCCTGGACACCAAGGCATATATTATATGTGGCATCTTGTCATAATATGGAACAGTAATGATTATTGCTACAAATTCAAGGAGAAATAAGATAGTTTAAGGTATTTTGTAGTGGAATTCACAGGCCAAGAGATGTTAGAGATATTCCATGCAAATATGAGATAAACAGGATATTTAGCTCCTGAATGTCCCTTATGTCTTGAGATTCTTGTTGCTCCTTGTTTTTCTGGTTACTTAGTCTCCATCTAGGCTTAAGAACATAGGCAGTTTTCTCTTTTATATAAGTTATTGATTCTTACTTTAACTTCTGTTCTTTTTCCACTCTTTTTTTTTCTGCCTGTTCTCTATTAGGAGCAATTTTCCCCTTTATTTCATGAAAAATTTTCATGAACCTCGTCCTTATTCAAAATGTAGCTGTGGACTTTTCTTTGCACACTGAGTTCTGAAGTTACTCAGTATAAATGTGATAGGGAAGAAGGAGATGGAGAGGTAGAGTTTCTTTTTTCTTGCTACAATTAGTAGGTGAGGATCACATGTATTGAACTTTACTTGCTTTTCATAGATTCATAATCAAGCAAAGCTAATACATAAAAGTATCATTTTAGAGCACATAGTTGTATTGTAGATTATTTTACTGTAATGATTTGATTTATGTGTTTTTATATGACCTATAATGATCTTTCAGTAGCATGTCATTGGGTCAACCATTTATTCATTATACAGATATTTCCTAACAACTCAAATATTCCAGGTACCATATTAGAAACTTGAGAAATTAATAATAAAAATATCCATTGCCTTCATCAATTACTTATGAAGTGAGAAGGTGACGGATAGGCATTGCCCAACTAATCTTAAAACTTCATTTGTGGTTCTATGAATGACTATAAGGGCTGGGGGGTTAATTAAATTAACGAAATGGCATATAGGAGCACAAGAGTATCTGATGGGTAATGTATTGGATGATTAGAAGTAAAGAAGACAGAAAAGGAAACAGAAACCCTAGACAGAGCAGTGAACAGTAGCCCTGTTTTTTTTTTATTTTTTATTTTTTTTTGGGTCCGGTCATGGGGCCTGAACTCTGGGCCTGGGTGCTGTCCCTCAGCTCTTCAGCTAGCCTTGAGCTGAGCTAGCTCTACCACTTGAGCCACAGTGCCACTTCCGGATTTTTTCTTTTTGCTTATGTGGTGCTGAGGAATCGAACCCAGGGCCTCGAGCATGCAAGGCAAGCGCTCTACCACTGAGCCACCTTCCCAGCCCCAGTAGCCCTGTTTTTGTTTGTTTGTTTTTGGCAGAATGGAAGGCATGTATACAAGAAGTTAAAGATGACAAATGACTAGGTTTGTTAGAGAAAGTTAAAGTTAGAAAAGTGACTAGGGTCATGTTACATAGGGTTTACAGGCAGGATGAAGAGCATTCATACTGTAAGTGTGTTCAGGCTATTCGCTTTCCACTTTTCTAGTTGACTCCTGATCAGTCCAAATTCCAAGATAGGTATCAAAAGACTAGAGAAAATCCTTTAGGGAGAGGGAAAAAACTTAGCAACATATTTTCCTTTTATGTCTCAGGGTGGGGGGTGGTTAGGAGGAAGGAGAATTAGCTTTTTAATGTATGTGCACTAAATATAATATATAGTGAAATATAACTAGAAACATGTAAACGTCCCCAGAAAGTTGAACTAACAATAACAAAAATGTCACCTTTCTAAATGACCAGCTATGTCATTTTTTTCTTTTCTTTTTTTAGTCTCCCTGGCTATAGAGATATAATTTTACATAGATGTGATTGCTGTGTATGCTTCATTTTGAATTCTGCATTTTTTACTCATTGCTTCATAGGTCTCTGATTCCTGCATATTTCTCATGTTTGGCATTCTTCATTCTAATAAAATATTCCATTGCATTAATGTACCAAGGTCCTCTTAAGTATTCTCTCACTGTTGGGCATCTGGACTCTTTCCAAGTTTTGCCTGTAATATACAGCACAACCATAAACATCTTTATACAAATAGGTTTTTTATTTCTTTTGAATTATATCCTTGGGCTATATTCCAAAAAGTCAAAATACATGATGATTTCTTATGGCTGTTAGTATTTGCTGCCAAATTTCTGTTTAGAATAACTTAACCAGGTTGTAGGAAGTGGTGTTTCTGAATGTCATTCTTCCCAATATCTCACACACAGCAATAAGCAGTGTCAAGTTTATTAATTTATTCTATTTAAATTAATGCATGATTGTGCCACATGACTGTTTATATTTGAATTCTGTTAACCGTGCAAAGAGCTGGATATTTTCACAATCTTTATGTCAAACCAAACGTAACCTAACCAAACCTAAGTTTGGTTAATAATACAATTACCAATTTTTTTGTGAGGCCCCAGAATAAGACTATTTTCAATTCAGTTCATTCCTTTGTTGCTGTATGCAATTAGTTACTAAGCACTGATATTGATGACTTCTTAGAACCACTCACATCTCATCCATCTTTTTATTTTCATTGTATTTTATTTTATTTTTGCTGGTTGTGGGGCCTGAACTCTAGACCTGGGCACTGTCCCTCAGCTCTTCAGCTCAAGGCTAGTGCTCTACCACTTGAACCACAGCACCATTTCCAGCTTTTTTCTTCTGTTTATATGGTGCTGAGGAATCAAACCCAGGGCCTCATGCATGCAAGGCAAGCACTCTACCACTGAGCCACCTTCCCAGTCCCCATCTTTTCATTTTTAAGCCTTCACATTTTCCTTCTTAAATTGTTTCTCTGTATCAAATGTCAAACTCTAATAATATTTTCATATGGACTTCTGAGTAGATTTGGAAAAAAAAAAGAGTGTAACGTATGATCAGATCCATCTTGCTTGAAATCAAATCCTTTAAAGCCTCTGACTGCCTACATTTGCATCTAACGAGCTACTATATCATCTAATCTAGGCTGCTTTCCAGCTACATCCAAGTGTAGGTGCACATTTATATTTTGTGTTACTTGTGTAGAATATCACCCTCTTCTCTTGTTTCTCCTTTTCCCAAAGCCCTCTCTGACACGGTCAGGTCAGATATTTCTATGGTCTATCCTGGCTTTGAACAGCATTTTATTTTTCTGCAAGGTAGAGCACTTATCAGGTTCACAGTATAGCTGTTTATCTACATGCCTCTATTTTTAAAAAAACATTTTTTAAATTGTGAGAATACTGTACAGAGGAGTTACAATTACATGGGCAAGATAACTATGTGCCTCTCTTAACAAACTGTAGACGAGGATCAGAATCCTGTCTGTTTCATTCATTCCATATTTTTAGAACCTAGGAATATGGTCGGTATCTTATAAGTAATTGTTTGAATGACTAGTATTTAATCTTACTTAACAACTAGCTCCAAGTTTATCTGGCATAAAAATGAGTAAGCTTGGCTGTGATATTGAAGCATTGCAACTCATTATATAATAATGTGAATGAATTATGATATTTTCATAAATCATAATGAGTAGCTTTAGTTTTATAGGGACAAGACAATTCTTAAGGTTGTTTGCATAGTAGTTATAGGACAAAGAGCTGTGATGAGACATGAGAACAGAGAGACTCTTCATGTTTGTATCTTCAGGAACTGTCATGCTGCCTAGAAAAGGGAAAGTGCTTAACAAAGTGCTGGTCTTACTGTTTTCATTTTCTTTCAGGAACTGCCCACTGATTTTTATCTAAACACATAAAAAATGGTTTTGCATGGTTATGTCTTGCATAGCTTGCATGTATCATCTATGGAATGAAAATTTTATATTAATCCATTACATTTTTTACCTTGAAGTATATTTCATTGTTTTATAAGATTATTATAATCACTGTTATAATGAATAAATTCTACCTATAGAGATCCCAATCAAAAGAAAGACTTATTTAAGTTCTGTGAATTCAGTAGTAGAACTAGAACAATATTCAGTGTTACCAGATTATTAATGTGAATAGATAGCAAAGACACGGGCATAAGAAAGAAAAACCAGTAGCATAAAAGAAAAGTTAACTAACATAAATGAACAATGAAACTAAAAAGAACAATAATTTAAGTTGTCTTTTTAAGATTTTTATTTTAAAATCTATTTTTAAAATCTATTTTTATTTTAAAAATCTATCATTCGTATCTTTACAAAGATACATACTTAGAAGTATGTGAGATACTGCACTTATAAAGTGAAATCATATATATTAAAAAGTATACAATTAGAACAGAAATATTTTGGAGCTAAATATGTACTTGATAAATT